AGCTTGCCCGCACTGGTGGGCTGTTTGGGTGGGAGGTTTGTGTCCTCTCTGAGGAGTCGAGCTTCAGAAGGAAAGGGTTTGTGTTCCCACTGCAGTCCTGTGGTGCCACTCAGCCTGCAGCTGTAGCGTGGCTCCTGCTTCCATCCCTGATGCTCCTCTGCTCTTCAGATATGCAAACATAAAATGAATGAGGAAGTGAGAGAAACAGCTTGAATGCATTTCTCTTTGGTCAGAAAAAAACCCACATTAAGAGCTGGGACCTCTTTTTAGTTCAGACTTACCTATTCTTAAATAAATTGGCTGAACTCTCACAGGGAAACCAGTGAATGTAAAGAATTTTTTTGTGGAAAAAAGTGTTTATTACCTGTCACTTGCAGCATCTGAAGATTGATGCATGTGGCTTACTTCGAAGCTGTGATTTTGTTGTTTCTGTGAGTTAGGATCTTGTCACATTTGACAGTACTTTATGCATGGGAAGCACTTCTCTACCTCTTCCCCAAGTCCCCATTTATTTGGGTCTTTACCATAGTAACAGTTGAGGGTACTTTTTCTGTTAAAAACGTTGGGGAAAATATGGTTGTAAAATCAAATCAGCAGGGGATGTGGTGGCAGGAGTAGCTGAATATTAACTTTTATGAGCGGTGACTGAGTTTGCCTCCTCCTAGCCAGGGTATTATTGAAGCACGCCAGTATTCTTGTTGAACATGAAGTGTGGAGTTCTAGTGTTAGCAATATGAATGCAACATGCTCTCGCTGGGTGCTGGTAAAAATTAAATTAGAAAACCTCCCCTCAAAGTCTTCATTCGTGTGCTTCTTGCTGAAGAGAGATGCATCAGAATATTGAAATCCAGTATTGACATACATAGTTTTTAAAATAGGTTTGGAAGAAGTTACATTTTGATGTCCTGCAAGGTCTTTGTCTCTTTGCTTAGCCAGTACAGCTTGCAAATCCTTCTGCTAAACTAGCTGTGAAATGCAGTGTGTTGATTTAATTGTTCTGGGCAAAAGTGAGCTGGAATTATGTTTCCCTTATAATCTAAACCAGGATGCCTTTTGCCATAAAGCAACAGCCTCTGTTAGCAGTGCCGCTGCTCAGGGTTTGGCTGGCTGACCATAGCAAAGTCGTAAAAAAAAATTGTGCAGAAAGTAGGTTAATTAAACTACTTGGTCTCCTTCATTTTAACAGCCTAAGTGATTTCCACCCTGCAGCTGTGTGGTCTGAACACAGTTGTTTCAATTAGACAGGAGGCTGATCCCATGTGAGGGAACTGAGACTCCTCTATGTATAGTCATTAGTCTCAGGATGGTTTGGGGTTGGAGTTTCCGTGAGGTTTTTTCCTAAGCTTATCCACTGTAGTTGCTTTCCTTTCGAGGCAACCTAACATAACAAACAAGAACGCTGTTCACAGTACTTGAAACTGTGTTCTTGGAGTTGTGTTCTTCAGTAGCCTGCAGAAAGAAGGAAAATGAATGGAAAGGCAAATATTTTGTGTTCTTAATTCCTTTCTTATTGCTTGTGGTATTGTCAGTACTGTGCAGTACTCTACCAGAAGAATTTTGCTCTGACACTGACAGATCACAAAATGGAAAGCTTATGCCAGTTTTAAGAAATTGTGTTGTAACGCAAAATCTGAAGTGACAAAGGGATAATCAAACTCTTACTTACTAGATGAAGCTAGTAATGTCACTGTTGGTTTGGTTTTTTTTTTCCCCCTCTTGCTAGCATTTATCATTGGTTACAATTTCAGGCCGGTTTTCATTGTTTAGCCAGTTTCTCCACCTGTTTAGTTGCTTCTCCACCTGTTTCCACTCCTCTCTAGCCTTCTGAAAGCTAACCTGGCAATTTTAATCTTCCCAAATATGATCAACAAGGGAGGAAGGAGAAGGAAGACTAAATGTGACCGGAAACTTCTGCATCTCTGCTGGAGGAAAGAGCAAAGATCAATATTTGGAATTAAAATTGAAGCTTTACCGTCTTGAAAGTCATGTGTGTTGGCATGCGTTATTCTGCCTCAGTAGTGAAGTTACTTCTAATTTTTGCTGCCCTTAGGAATGAGGGCCAGCATCCAAACTGCTGCGGAGTTACCATATTTGGCAAGTTCAGCTTGGTAGGCAAACTTGCCATCATTGCTAATTGTTACAAAATAGTAGCCGGAGAAATACACATTCTGTGTGCTTGAAGAACAAACTGAGAAACAGGGGTGGTATTATGTGACTTTTTTTTTTTTAGCGTGTCCTGCTTTGTAGGAGCTGATTTGAATTATTCCTTCTGATTCCTTTTTAATCCTTAAGATAAACTCAGTATTGTTTATATTTTCTGTGTTGCTTCTGCTGTTTTAATAAACTAACTGTACTTTTTATGGGTTTAGCTGATAAATGTTTAACTTGTCTAGTCCAGTGCAATAAGCAAGTTCTAGCCAGTGCTTCTGTAATGTAAAGTATTGCTGCTTGTCCCCCAGTGAAGAGTACTAGTGAGATTCCTCTGAGCTGTGTTTAAATAACCCAGTTTAGCTGTGGGTGAATGTCTTGTTGGCTTGCATCCCTTTGCCAGGTGCTGTCGGATGAGGAGAAGAGGAAGCAGTACGATGCGTATGGTGAGGAGGGATTGAAGGATGGGCACCAGAGCTCCCACGGAGACATCTTCTCACAGTAAGGGGATTTTGCCACTTCAGGCAGTTGGTACTCTAATTTTGTGATGCTCATGCACATATTTGACAAGGGCAGATTCTATGTTAAGGTCTCTTACCCAGTCAGGAGGCACTGATCTGAAATGACAGTTGAGAATTTGAAGAAATAAATTTACAGTGGACACCCCATGTGCAGTTTTCAGTTGTCTGTCTTGCATCAGTCCTTGCTTCAAGAGCAGTGAGTAGGAACCAGTGATGTCTTCCCACATGGGCAGCTCTCGCTCACTTGGCAAGCTGCATTGCCAATGTGGGTGATTTGTAAGGTGCTGCAGCTGCATTAAACATGTAGGAACTTTCTTGTGTTATCTGATGTGAGTGATGTTTAACCTGTTGTGACAGAACATGTGTGCACTTTGGAGGTCACTTTTTCTTTTGCAGAGTAATGCTGTAGTGATGCTATGTTTCAGAGCAACTGTAGAATTTGGATCATCAAAATCTGAAGGCACTTGCATGTTGCTCAGGCAGAACCCAATTTTCTGTTTGTTTAAGGCCCCTTTGGTTCTGCTAGGCACAAACTCACTAAAAAAAATTCCTGAAGCTGCTCATCTCATGTAATCCTTCTGGGTGAGAACTCACACTGTGTGCTGGTCTGTTTTGAGGAAAAATATGCAGGCTTGCTAGGAAGTTTTTTCTCGTCCCCCTTGCCCTCGAACTACTGAAAACCAACCTGCTAGCATTGACGTGCAGTGCCAGAGGTGGAGCGCTACTCGGAGTTTGCACCTTGTGGTGATGGTGGCTTAGCAGCAGTGCAGTACAGAGAGGATTTCCCTTAGGCAGTGGTCAGATTTTGCGGTGTTCCTGCTCCAAAACTTGTTTTCTTTAGTACAGAAAACTCTTCCAAAGTGACTGCTTTGTTTGAAGGCATTAGCCTGTGTCCTGGAGGAGCAAAAAGAGGTATCTGGATTTACTATGGTGCTTTTGTACTGTGAGGAGGCTGTTCTCTAGGGGGCTAGAAGCATTTGCCAAGCAGCATATTGCTGCTGCCTTGGGTGGCTCTCTTCAAAGCCTTGTTTGATCAGAATTCCTTCCTGAACTAATTGATGTGCTTTACTCCAGCTTCTTTGGGGACTTTGGATTCATGTTTGGAGGTAACCCTCGCCAGCAAGACAGGAACATTCCCCGAGGAAGTGACATCATCGTGGACCTGGAGGTTACATTGGAGGAGGTGTATTCGGGAAACTTCGTAGAAGTAAGTTTGCCTGTTTGCCTGTTGGTCTCTCCAGTATTTTCTCAGGTTGAGATGCCTGGGCTGGCCTCTGCTCAGAATATCTTCTCCCAAATAATAGAACTAAAGTAGATGCTCATTTTCTTAGTATCTGGCAGTGACAATGGAGGATGTTGTAATGCTATTTGGTAGTAGCTAACTGAAGAAACAATACATTTATTCATCTTTGCCACCTGGCAATTTCTTTATGAAGGGATGCTTCTTGTGATAATAGATTGTTTATTGGCTGTCAGTGACTAACTGTAACTTTTTTATTGTAGTAGCCCAGTTGGGAAGGTGTAATTAGTGATATTTGAGGGCCCACTCATAAGCCTCAAATTCGTTTTGCAATCTTGCAAAACCATGTTGAGGATTTTTCATAGCCTCTTTATATGGCCAAACGTGTCACTGCAAACTTCCGGATTACATGCTTGCGAAATGTATGGTGGCCTTTTAGGGTTTTTTTTGTTTAAGCAAGCTACATTTCTGGTGCTGACAATCCCTGCTATTCTGCATGTTAGAATTTGCATTGATTGAGTTTGTGTTGTGAGTGTCTGGGTAAATGGGGAACTCCAAATAATTTTGCCCGTTGTGTGGGACAAGGAAGCTGTCATAACCAGAGCATGAGGTGTTTCATCCTAGTGTTACCTTTCCTATTTAGAAAGGTGTGCAGGAAAAAGAAAGGAAATGGTAATAGTGGTGTCAGAGAGAGTTTTTCTGGTATTCAGTGTGCGATCAGCAAGGTGAAAACTGTTGTCAGAATGTTTTGCTGAGGCCATTTGGAGCTACTGTGGATGCAGCACACAAAAGCAAATTATCTTCAGGCTGTTTGAGAAATCCAGACCCTTGTGGAGACCCAGGAGTGCTGGCCTGTGTGCGGGTATCAACCTCTTCCTCTTCCATGCAGGTTGTCAGGAACAAGCCAGTGGCAAGACAGGCACCTGGCAAACGGAAATGCAATTGCCGGCAGGAGATGAGGACCACCCAGTTGGGTCCTGGACGTTTCCAGATGACTCAAGAAGTTGTTTGTGATGAATGTCCAAATGTCAAGTGAGTTTTATGCTCTTTACTGCTATATGGATGTTTATTCAAAACCTGCCACTAGATGGAGGAAAGTTCCTGTACGACCAGTAAGACCTGGAGAATTTGGAAAAACTTAACACAGGCTTCTCATTTCTGAGGAGCCAGTCTTCATTCTTACAGTAGAGATGGCCTGCTCTAATAGATGTAGAGCTCCCCAATTTTCTCTTTCAGCCTCTTACTCCTTGAACGATCAGTCATACTACAGTGGAAGTTCCACAACTAAATCTGAATAAACAAAGTCAGGGAAGCCCACTGTTTCCAGCTGGGAACAGTTGGACATGGAATGCTGTGGTGTAGTCACACATCCAGATGCTGACTGTGCATTTAGAAGCTTAACTCTACCTTCTCTACTAGATGAGTATCAGCACACAAGAAAGGCGGCACTCGCCCTCCAGTTTTAGATGTGAGCAAGGAGAGAGTATGCATTAACTTGGGGGGGGTGTTCTCATTACCCCAGTAACATAAGTAGGTGCTACCACCTACTGCTGAAAACTTAGTGCTTGCTTGCTCTTCCCCTTTGCAGGCTTGTGAATGAGGAGCGAACGCTAGAAGTGGAGATAGAGCCAGGCGTGAGGGATGGTATGGAGTATCCCTTCATTGGGGAAGGTATGTATATGGGCACTGCCCTGCTGCTCAGCTTTGACTTGCTCCTTTTCTGTGATGCAAGGCTGGTCTTCATGGCAGTGAAAGTGTCCAAGCCTCGCTTTGGGTAACTGATCAGCACATATGGTTTTAAGTGCTGTGTCCTCTGTGTGCTGCTGAAATCAAGGAGCGTACTCTGCTAAGTCTGGATAATGCTCTGAGTTCTACTGCCTTTGCTGGTACTGGAGGCGCACGCACACACACACACACACACGCACACACACAAAAAAAAGCTCTAAATCTGATGTTTCAGATAACTTTTGAGTAAGAGCATCTGTTCCAGGCTGGAGTATGTGAGGGAATCCCCTCTGCCTGAGGAGATGAAGTCCTTCAACAAGTAAAGGACATCATTAACATGCAGGCAAGTCTTTCAGAACAGCAGAGAGGTATGAGCTTATTGAGGCAATACTCAGAAAGTCCTAAGCTCTTTAATAACAGATACGTGTAAGCAGGGTTTTAGTCATGTAAAGGTCAACTAGTTGTTGTTTTCCTTTAACATGTGAGCCGCAAATCTCTATTGTATTTAATATGCTGCTTGTTTCTTCAGTTGTTACTAACTAGTGCCTTTAAACAGAGCTTTTCTTTCTTTTTCACAGGTGAACCCCACGTGGATGGGGAGCCAGGTGATTTGCGCTTCCGAATAAAAGTTCTTAAGTAAGTAACTGGCCTAGTTAGACCACTCTTTCTGGTTGGAAGCTTGCAAGCAATTTTCTGGCTAGTGTTGCCTGCTTGGCTAGCCTGTAGCTTGCCCTTCAGTGGAGTTGGTGCAGCCAGGGGTCTGGTACTCAGGGCTATGTGGGATGTTCAACCCTGATGATGCTAGAGTAGCTGGATTCACCACTGTTAAGATGCTGCAGTAATTCCACTTTTATTTCGTTTGGCTTGAATTCTGGCATGCATTAGTAGCTCCTGCATGAATTGCATGAAATACGTCCTTTTTCCATAAACATACTATCTCCCTATAGTAAGGAAGTGCACTACAAAGAAAATTGCTGTGTGAGTCACAACTTCTTGACACGCCTCACCACTCATTGCCCTAGAAATAGAAAGGTTATTTAGTAGTACATACTTCGCACAGGAAAATGAAGCTAAATTTCATTCATTCTTCACTTCCTCTCTGATTTTTGTGACTTCTCCAAACTCACAAATAGAGGGGAGGAAGCTAGAGGACCTATCTTCCCTATGGGGAAGGAGAAAAGTTCCAATGTCTTTTATTTCCACAGGCACCCAGTCTTTGAAAGAAGAGGCGATGACTTGTATACAAATGTGACAATCTCACTGGTCGAGGCACTTACGGGCTTTGAAATGGATATCACTCACTTGGATGGGCATAAGGTGAGGCAACGGTTTGCTTTCATGCTGTGTGCAAGCAAAATTTAACTGCAGGTCTCCTGTGCTGAGGGTTAGTTTGCTCGGGGTCTGTGGAGCTACTGGTTGTACACAGTATCCCCTCTGCAAGAGCCTTCCAGACGAATTCCCATGGAGCCAAAATAAGCTCTGTACAAGGGGTGCACAGTGTGGGTCTTGGTTCCAGGCGGTCACAGCCGTTACTGCATGTGCTCTCTTGGGTGCTGTTAGTTCTGGCATGTGTCCCAGCACTAATACTGCCTGGACCCCTTGAACATCACTGACTTTGGCAAGGAATCAATATCAGTTGAAGCTTTCCAGTGGGTTGGAAAGGGCATTGGAGTATTGGGGTACACACACAGAACATTACTAATGTTCTGAAATTTCTTTTGTCTCTAGGTTCACATTGCTCGGGATAAAATTACAAAACCCGGGGCCAAACTGTGGAAGAAAGGAGAAGGTCTTCCAAATTTTGATAACAATAATATCAAAGGCTCGCTAATAGTAACATTTGATGTGGAGTTCCCCAAAGAGCAACTGACAAATGAACAGCGGGAAGGTGCGTGTTTTAAAGCTCTGTCATGGCAGCGGGCTGCACAGACCTCTCACCAAAGCTGATAAGAAGCTGGCACAACTGAACCAGTGACCTGTAGTGGTCAGGAGGGGCTCTCCTTTCCCTGTGCCCCTTGTACAACATAACACAGTTGGCCGATGCCCTGTGATTAACCTCCATTTCCCTTTGAAGCAAGTGAGCTTGGCTGCTGCAGTTGTAGGGAGCCAGATTAGGTTGGGATGTGCCACTGCTGGGATGTAGCACTTGGCAAGTTTGCAGGTGCTTTGTTTTGTAGCTGGCCATCTGTCTGAACTGAAAGACTTGCTGGGCTTAGCCTCTGTCTGCTTTGCCTCTGCTGGAATGGGATCACAAATGGTTTTCCAGCCCCTGCTTCTACTTTTTTTGGAGGCCAGACTTGTGAAAATCCCTCTGCTGTCAAGGGTAAAGAGTGTCATGCAGCATCAGAAGGATTGTTCCTCTCTACATCTCCTTCTACCCGAAGTGCTTTGTGACCCTATAGGGAAGAAGGGTGCAATGCAGATATTTCGTAGGAGAGATCTGCTTCTCAGCTTCAGTGCTCAAATGGAAACCTGATGAACCGTGTAGAAATCCTAAAATTGACAGGAGGGTAAATACTATACTCCTAGCTGGAAATTCCTCTTTGCTTCCGCAGCCTCTGCGGTAGGTTCTGCTGTTCTGCGCAAGGCATCGGAGTAGGCATCAAGGGCCCCATCCTCTGCTATGGGGCAAAGAAGTTCCTGGCATGTACCAGTGCAGCTCTTCAGAAAATTCCCACCCCCAGAACTTCTTCCTGCTGGTTGGGGCTATCGTACTTTCTTCTTCTGAAGGTGCCCTTTTAGTGGATTCTGGCAGCTGTCCTGGTAGAATGAGGCAAATGCGCAGCTTCCTTGGACTCTTCAAGCTTGTAGAGGGAAGCCAAGCCCTGGGTGGGCTTTTCTCAGCCCTGCAGCACTTACTGCTGCATTGATGACACTGTGCTAGCTACCACTTGGAGCCCAGTTGGTAGCTCCAGCTCCAGGATTGACTGATGGTCTGTGGCTCTTTCTGCAGCTGTTTGGGCTGTGAGGTCTGTGCCTCCGGGCTGTGCTTTGAGTGAACCTGTTTTGTGTTTTGACCCCTGTGCTTTCCTGCTTGTTGCAAGTGTGTTGTGTCCAGTGAGGGCTGTGGAGCACAGTGACCGCGTCAGTGTGAAGTCTCATTCCAGGCTCTGCTGCCTTTCTTGAAGCTTCGTGAGGTGACGGCACCTCTCAAACAAATGTGAGGTTTTTCCAGCTGTTGCTCTTGGCAGTTTGTGAAGAGACTGGGCAAAAAGCAGTGACAGAAGCCTCTGTGTTTGTCAAAATTGCTTGCACGCCTTTGTGGATATCCTGGGAAGAGAGAGGTCATGGTACTGGCATGAGTGTGTTCAGGCACAGGGCCTTTGGGTGTTTCGCTCCCTCCTTAAAGCAATTCCACGCTTCCCAGGGGAAGATGACTGGGTAGGCAGTCAGATGCATTTCTATGTGCTAGAATATCTCCAAACATCTAGTGATTTAAGAAGTTTTATGAGGGAATAGGTCTATTCACGTTGTGTGGCAGCAGTTCAGTGTACACATTCAAAGGAAGACTGTAGGCTTCAGAATTCAAAACATCCCTTTTTTCTTATTGTTGGCGGCGGTCCTGACTTCTTATCTCATAACCATATGTACGGCTCCTGGGGCAGTCAAGATACTCTGACTCCAAGAGCACCACTCTGGTCAGTCTAAGCTTTAGAGTCAGAGAAATAATATGCTTGCTTTCCCACCAGTGTGATATCAGGGAATTTATTGCCTGTTGATGAGAGGTTACTTTCTCTTTGACATATCTCTCATTCATCTCTACTGACACTTGTTTATTGTCTGTTTTTGGAGCTTTGGATCCCATGCTTTAATTCTGGAGTGCTCAGAATTAAAGCACTGATGCCGTTCTGGGGATGTCCAACAGCAAAATTATAGCAGTTTAGCTTAATTTTTTATTGTTATCTGAAAGTTACCCATGGTGTGGGGAGTATTCTCTGTTTTGGGTCCCGACAGCCCCTCCTCGGGCTCAATGGTTTCTGGTGCTGGTCAGAGCAGACATGCTGCCATGCCCTGAGGGGCCCCATGGCCAGGGCAGTGGGAGTCCTGGCAGTGTGTGACCAGGGTGGCTTTAAAGAGGGAGTCCCCTCTGATTATCTCTGGAAAAACAGTGTGACACATCTGTTCTTGCCAGTCTGCTTCCTGTTTTGTGTGGACTTGCCCTTTAAGTAGTAGTGAAGACCTGCCAGTCTTTCTGAAGGTGCTGACCCCAGTAGATGAGCTATTATGGTTTCAAGGGCTGACTCACTCTTCTTTCATCCTGCTCTGATAAGAATGTGATACTGACAGGATCTCAGAGTAGTCAGTTCTCTGAAATGTTTTGTGAATGGGCTTTCAGGGGTGGGGAAGATGGTATTTGAAGTCTTCTATACTCTGTGAAACAGTGGGTTTCAAAAAAACTTAAGATTTTTCAGGTCTTCAGTGGGATACTTAAGCCCACAGATAACGAGTGTGCTTCTCGTACTTGCCTTCAGGGACTACTTCTAGTGGACAGTAGTGTCTCCAGGCACCACATACCAGTGTGAAAACCTCTGCTTTTTAATTACTCATGTGGGTTTCTGTAGCTGGCAAGTCCAGAAGGACTCAAACGTAGCCCTCCTGAGCTTGCTGCTAGCAGATTTCTCTTGGGCTGTAGAGGGAGCCTGGGGAGATGAGCTTGACAAATTAGGCTCTGGAAATACTCAGAAAATTGTTTGTTGTTGTATTTATACTTAAGATGACAAAATTATTGTCAACTTCAACAGCAAAGCAACTCTGGGAGTCAGCTTTATCCCTTACAGAGCCGTGAGGATCTTGAGGTTGGGCGCTGGGCTTTGAGTTTGTAGCAGAGGAAACTTTCTCCCTGGAACCGCTGGCCTTGTGTGGTCCCAAGAGTGCATAAAAGCAGTGTTATAGCATCACTAACCTCAGAACTGTTTCTCCTTGTAGGAATGCTGAAGGAGCAGGGTTAAAGCTGCTGCACCAGTGGGTTTGGGGGTATTGTTCGTTTTTTTTTTTTTAATGATGCTCTTAGAGTACCAGTATTTGCATTATTTGGATATGCGGGCTCAGCCTTGAAAGGCTGGTGCCACAGGGCCTATGAGCCAGATGTGTAAATGCAGCAGGAACAGCAAATGCAGAGTCTTCCTCCTGTTTGTGCTGTGCAGTAATGCTTTCCTTTCTCTTGCAGGTCTCAAACAGTTGTTGAAACAAGGATCGGTGCAGAAGGTGTACAATGGATTGCAGGGATATTGATGTGTGGAAAAATTGGACCTAACTGAAAATGAAAAGTCAGACTTGTTCACAGTCTTTTCTCCTGCCCACTGTAGAATGAAAAAGAGGGAGGGTGGGGCAATTCTTGAGGTATATATAATTTTTTCCTTTGTAAATGGTGGAAGTGCTCAGACGAGTTGGGGGAAATAGTACCCTTTTCAGGACATAACTGGTGCTGCCTATCATGTTCCACGTCCTGGAACAACAAAGAGACTCCTTGAGCAGAAAAAAAGTGGGGAAAGGAGTTTTAAATTCCACGCAGATTGGAATTTCTGGTTTTTAAATATATTTTGATGTGACTTTTCTTGACCATCTCAACGTATTTTCATAGTTTCTCCTGCTTTTATGTCCTTCGTGTCAGTCTCTTCTGAGTTTCTGTTTTGGTTTTTTTAATCCCAGCCCTTCTTGCCCTTTCTCTCTGAGTCCAGAGTGTGGTATTCCTTCAGAGTTTGTGTTTCTGGGGCAGGAGTACAGGCGCTGTTGGGAGTGGACTGGCAGGAGAGCCTTTATGGGCTATGTTAGGCCCCACATATGGTTGGGAAAGCAGGGGAAAAGGGTCTTTTAAGGCTCCTGTGGACTCTCTTAACTACCAAGTAGTCCTCTTGTCCCAAAAGTTAATGCTTGGTTTTAAATTTGAAGTCACAACAGCTTAGCAAAGACTCCTCAGACTTTAACAGTGGGATTTGAGAAAATAATGGGAATGGCTCTCCATGGCCTTGATTCTTTCTCTTTGCCCCAAAGGTAACCAACCATCTGGAAAAGTTCACTTACCTCCTACACTCAGTCCTCTGTGAGGACGGGTGAAGCTAACAGCACAGAAATAAAGATGTTTGAGTTGGAATGGCAAAAACTACTTGGTTATGTATTTCAGCAGCCCTTACCCTGGGACAGCTGCAAGTTATTGGACTAACAAGGTATGGTCCCTTCAGTGATCTAAGCTGTGAGCTGCTGTAAAGGGTGAAACTACAGCTGCTAATACCAGCAAAAGCTCTGTAGCTGCTTTATTTGAACCAAGGGCCTGGTAACCTGGCAGAGAGGGACCTGTGCTGCTCTGGTCTCTGTCATGAAGACCCTGCTGCTTTAAGCATCCCCACCAGTGACTCTCAACTCCACATGTTCTTCAGGAGTGGTAGCTAAACAATTTCTCAGAGGTGCCTGTGTCAGTCAGACTTATGCTTCACTGTGACAAGGGATGTAGGCAGCAAAAGAAATGAGTCAGTTGTTTGTGTGGGATGGTTGTGCTCCTTCCCTCTGGGCTCTTAGGGGCTATAAAGTGGCATCCTTACAGCTGCTGCCTTATACCTTATAGCCTGCCTGGTAAGTGGATGGGATCTGTTTTTTCTACATGAATGTGTTTGCTGGAGAGCAACAGCAGGAGACTCAAGGTAGTTTTTTTGCTTTTGTTTTTTCTTGTTTGTTTTTCTTCATTGTGAACTTTTAAGTAGCTCAGATCTGAGCTCGGAGAGGTGGAGAGCAGCTCTGGCCCAGCCCTTGTGTGCTGCCCTTGGTCTAGCAATGTCCCACCCAACACTTAAACTTCAGTGGGAGCTGACGCAGCGGAAGCAGCAGCACCGGGAAGGTTTCCTGTTGGATCCTTTGTACATTTGCCTTGGCAGAGCAAAGCAGGGGCTTCGGGAACAGCTGAGAGAGGGGGGGCGAGACAAACCTGGGATGCCGAACCCTTGGTCTCAATACTCATCTTCCTCAAAATCTGTAAGCGTAAGCTTTTAATCCCAACTGAGGCTGCTACCTCAAGTGTCTCCCCATTTGATGACCAGCTCTTTCCAGGTGTCTGTAGGCAGCTCTGCCCCCGCTTCCCCCCTTAGCTTAGATTTCTAAGGAATCTCAGATTTCAAGGAAACTCTCCTTCCGATATCCCTGTGCATGGGGCTAGTTCCTGTTATCTCAGCCCCTCGAGGGTCTGTTTGATGATTGTCTTTCTGCCTTCCTATTCCACTGGCGCACGACCATGCTGCCAGTGCTTGCCTGTAGCAATGAAGCGAAAGAGCTGGGACTTCACACCAAAGTCTCAACTTCTCCACAGGAGAAGGTCATGTAACCTTTCCTACCTGCACCCCTAGCAGCAGGCTGTGCATTTATTTCAGGCATGAATACTTGTTCCTGCTGCCGCTTTTCCTTTCCCTGCTAATTCTTCCTGTGTTTTGGTTTGGTTTTTTTTTTCCATTGTGGGTCTGTACTCCTCTGAGAGGCCCGTGCTTGTTGCCCGAACAGCAACAATAGCTGCAGAAAAGCTCACCCAGCTTTTACAAGGGTGAGAAGAAAAACAGAAAAGAAAGCCCCAAATCATACTAAGCAACCCTGCTTCCTTCCATCTTCCTTTTCCCCCCTGCTGTGGGGTGTGTGCAGAGCTGGTGTCCTCCACCTTTCTCCACCTTCAGACAAAGCTTCCAGGGTTTCCATGCTTTCTCCTCAGATAGCAGCATACACTAGTACTTGCCAGGGTCTGGTTCAAACATTTCCACTTGCCTGAGGGAAGTTGTGCTGCTTCTAGGATTGTGGGGAGATACTTATCCTCCAAGGGTTCCAAGGTGTCTGGCCAGGGGGATGTGGAAGCTGTTCAGTGTCTGTGACATCCTGTGTCCCCTATTTCAGTAACATTTAGCTGGTGTGAGTCATAGCATGCATGGACTCCTTTATCTCATATAAATGCTTCTTAGGAGGCTTAGATGTTCACATTGCCTCTTCTTGGTTTGGGACCAAGCAAGCATCCTGAAAGTGCGAACCTCTGAGCTGGAAATCCTGTAATGCACAGTCTTAAATTTCCAGCCCCTTCTAAGCAATGCTGCTGTTCCCAAAGTGGAGCAAATAAAAAAAAAAAAAAAAAAAAAATTCTTGGTCCCCTTTTACCCTAAATCCTTGCACAAGTCAAGGATTGTTGAGGTTTTGGATATAGGCATGTTGTTTAATTCTTCTAGCAAAACACTTGTCCTTGAAACATGTTTCTAGAAGTCCTTGCTGTTTTGAGAAGGGGGTGTTTTAGACAAGCACATGGTCCTTGCCTAGCTAAAATGGGATCCTGATTTATTTCTGAACTGAATGGGTTTGATCACCTCCAGAAGTTCTGTGTGTTCCTCCAGGGCCTCACCACAGGCTTGCTTTAAAATATGTTACCACCCTTTGGCTGGATCCCTCCCATCCCAGGAGAGGTGAAGGAGCAGATGGGGTGAGGACTCCCATAGCAGGTAGATGATGGGGGGTGAAAACAGGGTTCAGATCTGCTTTTCCAGAAAGCATCATGCCCTAACAGCCTTGTCTACTTCTCCTGTCCCTCCATGGTCTGGGCTTGCTGCATCTAAAGCCACGTTGCCCATCCCAGACCAGATGTTGAAGTTCTGGGGCAGTGCACAGGAGCTTCAGCATTAGGTATGTGGGTCCTGGGGAGCAGTCTGGCTCAAGGGGGTTGGTTGTTCCCGATGGCTTCAGCCATGCAGAGGGCCACTGCTGTCTTATTTCTCACCGCAGCAAGTGGCACTGCTTGCACAGAGCATCCCCTCCTCCCCAAGTCTGGGCAGGGGGTGAAAGTGTCCCCAAACAGCAGTTTCTTCTCCATGGAAACTTCTCTTGCAAATGCAGTGCAGGCAGGCTTGGGTTTTTTCCAAAGAGCCTGTCATTTTAAAGTATTTATGTATATCTAAACTTTTCTGCTTCTGAGAAACAGGCAGTGGAGATAGGAGGGGAGAAGTAACTGGTGCCAGGAAAAGATTGCTCCACTGAAGGCACATTTGCAATGTTCCCAAATACAGCAGCTCAAATGGGTGTCTGAAGACCTTGGTGGTGGGGACCTGGCAGGAAAGGTGAAGCAACAATTCCTTGCTGGAGTCTTCAATGTGATACCTGGACAGCAGCCCCCATCTCTGCTCCCATGCTGTCGGGCTGATGAGCAGCATTGCAGGAGCAGTGGTGGAGCATCTTGCAAGGCATGGCTTGCTCAGACCTAAGCAGTCCCCAGGGAGGGGACAGCCCAGTTGGAGCAGGGTGGGAGGTGTGGTGGGACCGGTGGTATCCCGCTGCCCAGAAGCCTCCCTGCCACGTAGCCCTGCTTGGTGTTTGTTGACTGTGGCCAGCAGCCAGCTTTCTCTTCCCATTTCCTCTGGCTCGGTCAGACACACTGACCTGGGAGGTGAGAGGAAAGGGAAGAGGGCAGTGATGGGTCCTGGGCACCCGTATGCCCTGTGAGGAGGGGCTTGCCAGCACAGCCCTTTCCTCTGCTCCTAAATATTTCCAGGAACCTGCCCACTCTTGTGTGGGAGCCGGAGGCTGCTAGAAAGCAGATACCCAACAGCCTCCACCTCCCAAAACTGTTGCCCAAAAAAAACCATCCCTTGCTCAGGGAGGGCTGCCTGCAGGCTGCACATACTGCAAATCCCCTCACCCCAGTGCAGCCCCTGGGTTAAAAAGAATGTCCCAAAGCTGGTGATGCTGGAAACGAAAACATCTGCAGCTGTGACAATGTGACCTCTGGAGGAATTCAGAAGAACGGAGCTTGTTTAGTCCAGAGAAGTGATGATGATACCAGCGCAGGCAGCGAGTGCGTAAGGGGTGTTTACACAGATAATCCCTTCTTCCTGTCCCCAGAGACTTAAATCTGGTGCTACCTGTTTTCATGTTAAGCACTGATGCTATCAGCCCAAATCTTTTTCCCCAGCTGCTGCCTTCCCCACCCCACCCAAGCAGGCGCTGGAGCCCATCGCTGTGTTTTCTGGCAGCTCCTGGAGCCATCCAGCCCTTTGCCCCTGGGAACAGGCAGGGCACCGCGGCTGCCCCCCAGGCCGCCGAGACAAGTGTG